TTGCCAGCACTTGTTTGTTGATTTATTGATGATAGCCATTCTGACAGGCATGAGGTGATATCTCATTGTGGCTTTAATACTCATTTCTCTATGATCAGTGACATTAAGCATCTTTTCCTATGCCTATTGACCACTGGAGTGTCCTCTTTGGAGGAGTGTCTCTTTAGGTCTTTGTCCATTTTTCTTGGATTGTTTATTTTTTGTTTTAAGTTATATGAGTTCTTTATACATTTTGGATATTAACCCCTTTTGGATTTATCATTTACAGCTATCTTCTCCCATTCAGTAGGTTGTCTTTTCATTTAGTTGATGGTTTCCTTTGCTGTGCAAAAACTTTGTCATTTGATGTGGTCCCATTGTTTATTTTATTCTTTCTTTCCTTTTTTTTTTTTTTTTGCCTAAGGAGAGATATCAGAAAAAAAATTGCTGAGAAAAACATCAGAGAATTTGCTGCCTATGTTTCCTTCTAGGAGTTTTATGGTTTGAGGTGTTAAATTTAAGTCTTTATTACACTTTGTTTATTCTTAATATTCTTAAGTATATGATGTTAGAAGGTGGTCTAGTTTCAATCTTTGCATGTAGTTGTTCGATTTTCCCAACACCATTCATTGAGTAGACTGTCTTTACCTCATTGTATGTTCTTGCCTCTTTTGCTATATATATCAATTGACCATATAGGCGTAGGTTTATTTCTAGACTCTCCCATTCTATTCCATTGATCAGTGTGTCTGTTTTTATGCCTGTTCTGTGCTGATTTGAAATAAGCTTTTAGTGTAGTTTGATATCAGATAGCGTGATACCTTCCACTTTGTTCTTTCTCAAGATTGCTGTGACTATTTAGGGTCTTTTGTGGTTCTACATAAATTTTTCAATTATTTGTGTTAATTCATTTTTTTGTTGGGGTAATCCTTTATCAGTATCTCTCATTTGTTTTGCGTTTTTTTTGGGATTAGCCGCTTTCCAGAGAGAAATTCTTCTATTTCCTTCCTGGAACTCAGAGTTCTTAGACTAAAAGAAAAGGAGTTCTCGTTATTTAGTACATATGCTCTATATAGATTTTTAGACAATTTCTCTTTTAAGCGTGGACCCTTTGGTCCGAAATTCTTAGGTTTAACCTCTCCATAGTGAAACTTCTAGTCTTTTACCAGGATGAATGTAGGGCACTCATTTGCATGGCTGCATGAGAGAAGGGAAAGGCTCTTTTAAGTGATCTGACAGACTTTTAGTCATTCCTCATCTTTCTAGCTTCATCTGCATTCTTGCCCTCTGAACGGCCTGGCTTTTTTCATATTCATTTCTTTGTTGGTGTCGAGCCCTAAAATTTTCTCTTAACAGCCTTTTGGTGGCGGTTAAGGAGGGAACTGAGGTAAACTTATACATGGTTTGACTCCTTAATCTTTTACTTCTACACAGATATACAGGTGATGGTCATTAATTCATCTTTTCATTTGTAGAGGATAATGACAGGAGGGTTATAAACTCATTACTCAACACTGAGGGTGAAGGTCTCAGTGAGGATAGAGGAATTACTGTGGGAAGAAAATTGGTGGAACAGAATAAGGATTCATGGTGCTTCACAGGACTAAGAATGTCTCTTAGAAGTTGTTATTTTTCAGAGAAGTACTATAAGGAGAAGAAAAAGCAGTGCATTATTTTATATTAAATGGTATTTTATAATCATTTCCTTGATAATGTGTACAATGTAAAATTTTATTTCAGTTACAGTACTTTAGGAATTCCCCCTTACCTTCCTCTGGTGGGCTGTGTCAGCAGCATTTGAACAAATGTTTGTGAGGGTGCTTTATAAAGGCATTATTTCAAATGTCACTCTCTTTGTGATTGTCCTATTGACAGATATCCACTGACTATACATCTTACCAAATACCTCTTCTCTAAACTCAGTTTTGTATAAAGTTCAGCTGATTTCTAAGAGTAAATACCTTGAACAGTAACTATAGTATTTGAGCCTCCACATGGAATAATAACAGTGTCTTTTCTTAAGCTGCTCCTTTACTAGATGAGCAGGGCTGCTTAAAGCCAAAGCTATGTTTTTTAGTTGTAGAGCTTTCAGTCTCTTTGTGTCACCAGTTGCATCCCTAACAGATTTCCTTGCCCAGTTTCAGGTAGCAGCATTCATGTAGAAAGAACAGTGTGAATGGTGCCCTGGGTTGTGTAGTACCAAGACTCTTGCTTCCTTTTCCTTTTTAGTGCTTTCACTGGGAGCACTTTTCAAATCCCAGATTGAAGGTGGAGTGGAAAGAAACCAAGGTTATTTTTATTAAGGCTTTTTTTTTAGAGAAGGTCACTGCAAGAGTGAGGGAAAGGTACAGAGATTTCCCATATACCGTCTGCCTCCAACCCGGATAGTGTCCCCCAATGCCAGTTTCCCCCATCAGAGTGGTACATTTGTTACACATGATGACACTGTATTGACACGTCATAGTCACCGAAGGCTGTAATTTATATTCCCCAGGTTAATTTTTACTAGAACTTTTCTTCACTGTTGAAGTCTATCTAGAGGTAATTATAATTAAAAAAAATTCAGTTTGTGGCATTAACAACAAAGTATAGAAAGGCTTTTCTTAAGTAGATATATATAATACTGTTTTAGTTATTAAAATAAGTTTTAAAATATCTGAGAAATGTAGTGGTCACAAAAAATTTGAACTAAGATCTTGATAGTTTTAGTCTAAACCAAGATGCTTTTATATACATATAGGAGACATTTGTTAGAAGAGATTTTAGGCATCTTCTTCTGATTCGAGTTTTATATATGAGACCTGTCCAGAAAGTATCCTGCCATGTAATATGAAAAACAGATACATTTATTGAAGAGGATACAAGAAACATTGTACATGGGACAAAGACACCTCAGTTCCCTTCAAAGTAGGCACCTTGGGACCTCACACAATTCTCCCAATTGCCATCAGCTGCCCCATCGTATTTTCCTGAATCTCATTGATGGTCTGAAATCTCTTCCTTTTCAAAGGTGATTTTAGTTTTGGGAAAAGCCAGAAGTTGCAGGGCACCTAGTCTGGGCTGTAAGCGGGGCTGAGTTCCCTGGGTGATTTAATGTTTCACCAAAAAACTCTGCATGAGACATGATGCACAAATGGGCACATTGTTGTGATGAAGCTGCCAATCACCAATTGCCCATAGCTGCGGCCTTCTGAATCATCCGAATGGTTTCCACAGAAGAATGTCCAAGCTTAACACAAAATTCGATGCAGATTCATTGCTCTACTCACTCAGTCATTTTCAATGTGATGGCCATAAAATACACATGCTTATTCAACGGTGTCTACCGCCCCCACTGACAAGTAGAGTGAAGTTGTCATTGTTCATGCATGAGCATTCCAGTCCACTCTCCTTGGCTACCAGGTTACATAGATGTTGCATAAACCATACTTGTTGTATTAACAATGGCTGGAATTTTTTCCTGACAGACCTCGTATAACATGTGTTAGATATTAAAAAGACCTATCATGTGTGATTTAGAGGAGAATGTGATAAATTATGATAAAATCAGAAGCCTATATGAATACAGAACATTTTAGATGTTTGCTCTGAGGACAATAAATATCATTTCACGTGGGAACAACACAGGTGGTGAATACTGGAAAATAACAACCAAGCAATACCCGTTTATATAACACTCCAAATACAGATTAGTAGTGTAGTAGGTTCTGCTGAAATAAGGGTTAATATGTGAGAAGATATTTCTTAAGGTGATGTCCTTTAATCATTTTTAAATCATATAGTGTGTTAATTAAACTGCAGATTCCTGGGCTACCTCTTAGGAAGATTATTAAAATATTATGGGAACACACTAAAGTTTGCAATGAAAGATTTCAAAATAATGTTTGATATATTTATCATAGAAAGTTTATGGTTTTCTTAATTCATAAATAGTTCTGTTTAAATGAGTTTCATCTATGAAGGATATTATATGTTTGATCAAAATGTGAAATAAAGAAAAGAAGGTGAATTATGTTGGTAGATATTCATAATATAGGCAAAATGAGTGCTAGTATCTTCTGTAATGGGATCAAATTGTATGAAACACTGTCATTAACTATAGGACTTTGAGTAAAAATTACTTAACCCGTCTAATCCATTGAATATTAACCAGAAAATGAGAATAGTAAACATTTTTATAATGGGCCTATTGTGAGGATAGAACGCGACAACATACGTAACACACACTTCCTCAGCAAATGTGAGCTGATTAGAGTTCTTCATCGTTATCATTACCATTGTGTTAGCCTGCAAAATTTTCAGTCTGATGTTCTTAAAGTGTCTCTTCCCGTTTAATCTCACCTCCCCTCTGGGGCCAAAATGAGTTTTCCCCCTTTGAATTAAGTTTTCTTTACCATTTATTTCATGGTAACTATTCCCTCCTGTGCTTTTATGCCCTTTAGCCAGTAGCAGATAGTAGAGATGTCAGTATTCACTTTTTTGGTTAATTGATATAGAACCCTTTTTCTTTCTTTTACCTACACTGGGCATGTGAATTTTGCTTATAAGCTATTGCATTTTAACTTGGGAGCTGTTTCTGGCTGTCTTGTTTCTCTCTTCTCATCCCACCTGATAAGGATATTTTGAATAAATCTGTTTACTCTGGAAGTTTCCTGTTTAAATTAAATGTCTCTGCCTAAATGAAACTAAATTTGTGAGTTAAGTTTCTTTCAAAAGTATAAATCTTACTCTATATTTGAAATCAAATATGATTTTTAACATTTGCTTAAAAATATGTTAAAATATTTCTTGAGCTCAACTAATCAAGAACTATGTGAATATAGTTATGAAAGTTCAGCCCATTTACTTTAAAATTGCATCCTTTCACCTCCTAAACACTAAACTATGAAACCTAATGCAAATACTGTAAGAATATCTGAGGTAGATAATTAAAGTATAATTAAGTTTAAATGCCTTGGTGAAGGAGTATAAAAATTATTTAAATTCAATCGGCTAGTACATTTGCAGTTTTCTTTTATTAGGTGTGAAATCTAAGAATCCCCTGCCAACTCTTGAGGGCTCAATCCAGAATGTTGAATTGAAGTACTGCAGCACATCATTGGTCAAATGTGCCTCTGGGACCGTGGGATCAATAAAAATTTGTGCCAAAGCCCCAGGTATGTGCAGCTGGACCGTGTAAAACTTTATTGCCTGTATAGGAGAATTGGCCTTGCATTTTACAAGGAGCGTTACTGAAACAAGAATTTACTCATTGTTCCTATGAATCAGAGGTTTTATATTTTTTTATTTTACTTAAAAATTTTTATTAATTGTGCCAGGATGATAGTTCTTGACTTTAATAAATTAATTTTTATTTAAGGGAAAAGCTTTGCGTAGTTTTAAGAATGAATGTGAGGAAGAAAAATTGAAGGAAAGTTTATTCTTATACTTTGGATAGGAGTAGGAGGTATACATATATATGACACTTTAAAATTAAATTAGAATGTTGTTAGTATAATAAAATTACACAGAAAACGTAGCTGTTTTTAAATTTATGGTGGTAATTGACTTCATCTTTCTACCAGTACTTTTTTTCATAGTATTTCCCCTTAAACTACAGAGTCCTGCATAAATAATGCCCCCCTTATTACAAAATCATAAGCATATAATTCTGTAACATAACAATATCACATTCAAGCACAAATTATGACTTTCTCAATGAAATGTTCAAATTGCTGTCTATCTCGTGTGAGACATTCACGTACCCTACCAACACCACTCACGCAAGACTCACTTCTGCTGGACCCTGTATTTGTAATTTAATTACAAACTAAATTTCTAAGTAAGTTTAAGGATAAGGTATAGATTCCCTGGAATGTTTAAAGTATAGTGTGTTCAAGTTGTTTCCTTTTATAAGCTTTTCTGAAAATGTTGTAGATTGATTAGGTAAATATTAAAGCTTATTTTTTAAGGATTAAAAGTGCTTTTAATTTTATAGTCATATTTTTAAGAGTATAACAATATGTACAGCTAAAATCATCAAATATAGTTGAAGTATTATAATGTTAGTATATTTTAAGATCAAGCATCCTCAAGCTACTCCTTTATTTATTTTATAATTTTTTTTCCATTAATGTTTCTATTCAGGAGACAGTGGGAAAGAGAAATTGATTCCATTGCTTCAAGGTCCTTCTGACACTAAAGACCTTCACAGCAGCAAGTGGCTCAACGAGAGCAGAAAGCCGGAATCTCTCTTAGCTCCAGATTTGATAGCCTTCACAGTTCAAGTTCCCCAATATATGGACTACTGCCACAGTTCTGGTGAGTACAAACTTCGCATCTTTCTCTTGGCTTGCATTTTTTTTTTTTTAGAATTGTGCTTTTTTTGTTTCTTTTTTTTTTTTTAGCATTTTGTGTCCATTATACTCTACAGTTACGCTCTTTGAAAATACAAATGCAATATTTTTTAATCAGTTTTGGTAAATGACATGTTTATGAGCATTAATGACTTTATTTTATATGAGAGATAATTTAGTTGTATGTATAGCAATCTTAGATTCATACTTACTAAATTCAACTGAGTTTTAAAATATACCATATCATGTAATATGTCAAATGGAGTAAAGTAAATTTACAACACTGGAAATGTAAAATATTCTTCATGGGACAGCACTACTTTGTCACCCACAGTTTGCCATATTAAAATTAGGTGTTTGGGCTGTCTGTAGCTTTGCAAAAAGCAAAAGATGTTGATGGTGGGACCAAGAAAAAACTCAGAGGTCAAGGTCTTATTTCTTGATTTATATTCTTCTCTAGCAGCACTTTGCCTATAATCTATTTCATTTTGTTCAACACCATAATAATAGCAGATCCACACTTGTCATGTTGAGAGGAGATACTAGAAAGATCAATGAGAACTGGCACGGGGAAGAGGTGTTGGTTAGTAGAGACCAGTATCTGCGGTGTGTGGTTAGTAAAGCCAAGGTGGTCACTCAGTGAGACTGGAAGATAGCTATATACAGATTTCTTAAAAGGATAAGGGGTCTGTAGTTTTTCTTGGGAATTACTTGGTCAGTGATGGAGTGCTTTCAAATAGTTCCCTAAAAGTAAAGCTCTGTTACCATTAACAGGTATCACAGTTTATGGGAAATAATGTTAAGCATTACTGCACTAAGTTGAAAATAGAAACCATGAAAAGACTTGTTATTGGCTGACTAGACAGAGACTCCATGGAGGTGAACATTGAAATCACTGCAGGAGCGCACATGTGCAGGGACACAAGACTTTTAAAGATGAGTGTTGTTGCAGTAGCTCTCACAGTTGGCAGGGCGTCACCATTAGAAACTGGACAGCAGTATTTGCAAGGTCAGTCTGAGGCCCCACTGTCAACATGCTGCTAAAAACGCATCCCTCAGAAATAACTTATCAGCCTGGTGAGAATGGGTATATGTCTTGCTAAGGAAAAAATGTGAGGATGAGGCAGAAACCCAAACTGAGAATGTCCCTATGGATAAGATTTTACCAGTCTTTTAAGACAGGGTTTGATAAACATTTTAATCAAGGGCCAGATAACAAATATTTTAGGCTTTGTGGACCATATGGTCTCTATCAGCTATTCAGTTCTGCTGTTTACATCACAAAAATAGTTATAGACAATATGTAAATGAATGGATGTGCCTCTGCTCCAATAAAACTTTAATTGGTAAAAACTGGAGGGGGGCCAGATTTAGCCTATGTGGTTTAGCTTACCACCCCCACCCTTGTTTTAGAGAGAAGGGATTGATGGTTAAATAAACCTTATGGTTTTGTTAATACCTATTTAATCATGTTCCTTAAATATGCTCTTTTGGTAGACTTTTGTAATCTACCATATAATAAGTTTTGATAGGTTTTGTTTTCATATCATCAAATCATTGAAATATTACTGAAATGACCAGACCACCTGGTTATGAATTTTGATACATAAGAAGGAAGTAAGCTTGTTTATGTCTATGAATTCTTAATTGGAGAGCGACTCTATATTTTTCCTTTTGCCATGTACACAATTAGAATGAATTAAAGTGTCAAGATTATTTAAATAATAATTAGATCTTTCTCATAATGATATTCATATTCTTTGTAATTTAAATGGACTTTTAGAGTGACAAAAATGTATTTGCCTTTCTAATCTATTATATGAGCCTAAAAATTAACTACTATAAAAAATTATACCTATGATATTTCAAGGGTAAAGTTTCACATTTTTTTCTTGATGTTAAGGAAATTTGCCTAGTCTTCAACATTAATGTTTAGTGATATGTTTATGGATTTATGTGGAAAATTTTAATGTGATCATATATTTGTTGTTTTGAAAATACTCCTTTGGGTATATTTTAATCCTGAAATATAATATGTTTTTATTTAAACTACATTCACATAATTTACTTAGTGCATTTTCAAGTTTAAATTTTACATTCAACCTTGGTACTGCCACCCACATTCATGGCTTTGTGATACGGTTTTGAGAGAGTTTCTAAGTATTAATTTTTCAACCCATTTTAAAATAATATTGACTAATCTTATGTTCCTGCAACAAGATTTAAATTGGAGGGGCGTGTTACTATATTAACTGATAGTATGGACAAATCATAAAGTGTAAATTTTAAATGAAGAAATAATTTATTAACAATTTGTTAAGACTTTACTGAAATATCACTGTTTCAGTAAGTACTTTCCTGGCCACTGTATAAGTTTTTTTTCTTTATGTCTTACATACCCGGACATGCACGTGCATGCACACACGCACAGAAACACACTTCTTCTCTATGTTTCTTTAGCTTTTCTTGGTGCTTTTCATAGTCTGCCATTCTGTACATGCTTCCGACTTACCTTGATTTTTTTTGCTGTTAGAATTTACGCTACATTTGGTCAAGAGATTTGTCTTTTTTAGTCACTGCTGTATTCCTAGGGTATAAAACAATATCCCACATATAGTATGCTACTAACAGATATTTAATTAATGGATAAGCAAGTAAGTGATGATTATATTTATATTGACTGCTTGATAGTTTTTGAGGCTGGTGCATCTAAGGAAAATGACACAGAAATCTTCCCTAGTGTAATGTTTTTAAATGTTTTTAAAAGATTCTGGGTAGTTAAACTCTTTTAGGTGAACAGTTACAGGGAAGTGCAAATAATCCCTGATGTCTCTTTCACAGACAAGCAGATGCCCAGCTGAGATTGTTAATTAACTTTCCCCTTGAATTTATAGAATTTCAATGAGAGGTATTTGATTGTAGAGTAGTAAGTAATCAGTTAACTGACTTGTTGCAAATTGTGTATTTTAGAGGAGTTTGGTGATCATTCTAATTGGCTTCCCCCTATCCTGCTATGGTGTGTGGAAGACGGTCATCTTTGTGTGTATACTCCCAAATTGAAGGCAGGGGATTAGAACTGGGAGCCGGCAAATGTTGTGGATATTATATAAAACTCAATTAGGAAGAGAATTTTGAAATCAGCTTGGTTAGGATAAAGAGGTAGAGTTTTTTGCCCTGACTTAAGAATGCAAGAAAAGGGACAGCTTTATAAATGTGAATTAGGTTTTTATATGACTGAAAAAGTATTTATGGTGTCAGTGAATGTCTTTATAAAAATAGTACTTTTATAATTTAAAAATTACTATCATGTAAATTCTTTCATTTGTTTGCCAAATGAAACTATATTTAGCACAGCAAGTGTTATTTGTGTCTTATGGAGGAGGAAATAGAGGCCGATTGACCACGTATCTAGCAACTCAGACTCTGAACTTGAACCTGGGGCTTCGAACTATGTAACATTTTCCCATTTTCCTAGGCTGTTTATGTTTGTCATATAACCTTAGGGTCCATAATGCTAAACATTGCATCCCCCAGCTTTAACAGTCATTAACTTGAGGGCGCTCCTTTCCTCATATTAAGCACTGTCAAAAGAGCCACACTTTCATGGTGTCACAACATTCCTTTCTTTCTGATGTCTCAGCAATGCCCTTTGCACTTTCCCTCTTCCACCCTTGATTGCATCCTCTACTCCTGACTGTGATTACAGTGGAGTGTCTGAGGCTTCTTGTGGGAGTCTAATGTGACAGCCCACATTGTGTGTTCATTGTTACTATTCATAGGAACCAGTTAGCCATGCTTCTGTTTCTTACATTTGTGTAGATATTAGGGGTCAGATGGAGAAACTAGATGCATCTTTTGCTCCTTCAGAAGGAGACACACTTGGTGACAATGATTGATGTATGTAAAGTATTTTAAAATGGGATTCTAAACATTTTTCTTCATTTGTCTTTTAAATGTAGACTTGGGGTCTTCTTCACGTGCTGTATTTTGCCTATGAGTTGTAACAGGTTCTACTTGTTAAAAAGTTCTGAGTCTTTGTTAATCCTGGTATCAACATATAAATAAATTTTGAATTGTCTGCTTTAGGAATATAAAATGATCACAAACTCCTGTACACTTAGAGTAAAGGAAGTTAGAAGTCATTCATTTGAATTTCCAAGTCAGTGTTTGGAGTCCTTTTTATATCTCTCCCTCTTTCTGTGTACTTCAGATACCTTGGCCTTCTTTCTTTCAGGTTTTCACCAGTGATGATACTTCTGCGTATTGTGTTTTCTGTCTGGGATTCTTTCTTAAATCTAGCTCAGGCTTAAGATATTAGCTCCAGAACTACCTCTTCATGGAAACCTTACTGACTCTGCCTGACTCTGACTCTGTTGGGAGTAGTAGGGTAACTACTCCCAACAACAAGTCTGATTAAGTACCTTTGTTACTTCCAGTTTCATAGTTTACTGTATTTTCATAACACTTAACTGACAGTGTATACTTGTATAGTTGTGCGGTTTGAATGCTGTTTCCACCATTTGACAATGAGTTCTGTGAAGGGCAGAGTTAGTCACTGGTTGCTTATCAATCTGTCTCCAGGGCCTGACATTACTTGACATATAGGGAATGCTTGAGAAATCATTTATTGAATGAATGAATGTATTCGACAGATAAATAGTATGTTTTAAATATAGTGGTCCTCATCCTTCCATATGGATGATATACTCAGACACTCTTGTTTCCAGCATGCAATTTATTTTCTTTTGAGATCCAGACTTCAGATTTCAGCTACCTCTTGACCATATATCCCTGTGTATATTTTAATGGTGCCTAACACATTTAGAACTAAATATAATTCCTTCACTGCATTTCGTAGTCCATTATTCACTATTTCAATTAATGGCACCATGAAAAACTTACCTCTTCCTGCTGTCAGTTTCAGCACTAGCTCAATTCGCTTTCTTTCTCCTTTGCAGTCAATTT